ATCCAAAAGATGAACATGCAGCAGCCATTGAAGCTATTATTGATGCTGCTAAAAAAGCTGAAAATATAATTGTTATTGTTGATGCGTAAGAAATTAATTTATATTTGAGATTTTTATATTGAAATTTTCTATGTTGTTGTTTTTTTTTTCTTTTTTCATTGATCGTTTAGATGTGCTATTCGACATGATTTAATGAAAACAATTTTAAATTTTATTGAACGTACTCAATTACCAATATATGTAACACCTATGGCTAAAGGTGGTATTGATGAAAATCATCCACAATTTCGTGGTGTTTTTGCTGGAAATTGTTCACTTGAACAAGTACAAAAAGAAGTTTATGCTGCTAATCTTATTCTTTCAATTGGATCTATGAATAGTGATTTTAATACTGGTGGTTTTACTTATCGTTTATCACAAAAGAAAACAATTGGTAAAAACTATATCGAGTGTTTCAGAAATTATGATAAATGAAAAGATTAAGATCTCATTAGTTTTATTATTTTAGTGTTATTTGAAAAATATTTCTGAAACGCCCGATAATAATAATAATAAGTTATTCTAAATAAATTATTTATTATATTATTATTTTAGAATTTCATACATATCATACAAAAGTTTTCTATGCTATCTATGATAAAGTTGATATGCGTCAAATTTTACCGGATCTAACTGAAATATGGCCAGTTGAACGTATTCGTCCATATAATGAAAAACTATTTGAAATTCCACAACCATTATTAGATGATAAAAATAATGAAATAATACATGAATATTTTTGGTCTAAATTACCCGATTTTATTCCTGAAAATTCAATTATTCTTGCAGAAACGGGTACATCAGCATTTGGTAAGTTTAAATAATATTAATTAATTATTAATATAATTGAAATTTCAAGGTATTTTTAATATGCGTGCACCACGAGGTGTTACATTTTTAACTCAAATATTGTGGGGCTCAATTGGATATACTATTGGTGCAGCTTTAGGAGCATCTTTAGCTGGAAAACAAGATAATCGTCGAGTTTTTGTTTTAGTTGGAGATGGTTCTTTTCAAGTAATCTATTCAAAATAATAAATAGATAGAAATAAAATTTTTTGTTTTTATATTGAATATAATAGCTTGTTTGTCAAGAAGTATCATCTATGTTACGTTTTCAAACAAATATAGTTCTTATATTATTAAATAATGATGGTTATACTATTGAAAAACTTATTCATGGACCTGAACGTGCTTATAATAATATTCAAATGTGGCATTATCATAAGAGTTTTGAATATTTTGGTAATGGATTAAAACAAAATCGTCCACAATCGATAACTGGTTTTGCTGGTCAAGTTAAAACTCGTGATGAATTTGAAAAAGCAATGCAACAAGTTATTAATGAAAATGATAAAATTCATTTTGTTGAAGTTATTATGCCATCAATGGATGCACCAAATAGTTTAGTTGTTACTATTGAAGGTACACATGAATATAAACGACGAGAACGTGAAGGACAAGAATAATATTATATTGAACAAGACATATATTTTTAGTTAACCTTTATTTAATCTATCTATCTATTTATTGTAGTATATTTTATTGATATATCAATTTAAATAATATAATTATATATTTCATTCAAGATAATACACACATTAAATTTTTATTAAAATGATCAACAACAATAAAATAATTTTTATTATCTATTTACTTCGACAATAGAAGAAATAATTGAATTTCTAGGCCAAGTTTCTCACTAGTTAAAAAAATCTCTTTGTCGTAATGATTCAGAAGCAAATGAAGTAATTAATCATATAAAAATATCTAAAATATAATATTCATGCACAATGATAATTAGTACATTCTTATGCATATAATGACGTTTTGAAAAATGATCATTTGACTATATGATTATTTCGTACAGATTCCTGAGGTTAGACACATACATAATCAATTATTAACATTTACAGGGAAGTGATAAACTACTGTACGTATAGTATATCATTATGTTCTCATACAGATTTCGATCGTTTTAAACTATTTATAAGATTTCATAGTAGACCTACATAAGGAGATCTTGGACAAACTAGAAAATCCTGAAGTAATTCGTTCTCATGAACTATTTTAGCCAAGTTTCAGATCATTTCATTCAATATCTGCGACAACTCTAGATACAATTTGAAAGCTCAGTATATCAACAGAAAAAAAAAAATTATTTTCAGCTAACACTCTTACGATATTCTACGAGTTCTATGTATGAGCAAAGTTTCATGTTGAAAGTATGCTGTTTGATTGTTTGAAAAATTTAGAAAAACAATCATGAATCGACTTCAATGAATCGTTATATTCTCTTTATTGTAAATAAGAACTTTAATCTAAATTTATTTGAATATATATCCCTTTTTCTAGATTTATCATCGTTTATTCGATTATACTTGCTGAGTAATCGATGATAGTCATGACATTATATGTGAATATTGTCAAACAGGGAATAGTCTTGATTCGGATATTATGACAATAACAACAGCTCATGTCATACATGATGAAAAAACATCAAGTACAGTTGGTTACAATGAAAGAATAACGCATATAGAGGATAGTAACTTGATATTCTATTCATATCAAATGAATCATCAAACGAAGATAAAACAGTAGAGAAATGGATGTTTATATAACAAATAATATGAGTGAACATACCAAAGATTATAATCATTATATTCAAATCAAGTATACATATACATGTTATATGTATCCAGGATCGGTCTATGAATATTATTTGATTTTTATAGACATTGCATATCATTTGAATACATTTTATGCTATTTCGAATAGTATAGTAGATGAGACACTAACAGATATGTTCAAATAGAATGATCAAACAATGTTAAAATTTTTGATTTTTATTAAAGTAAACATAATAAAAAAAAATTATTATTGTTGATATTTGTGCTTCTGATGATCGAAAAATTATAAATGAACTTTATTTGAATAAATTATGTCAAAATGTAAAATATAAGAAGACCAAAAATAAGTCATCGTTGTAGTTTTGCACATAGTCTTCTGACAGTTCCATTTGAATTTCCATGCATTAGTCCAAGATTTATTACGAAACTATATCGATATATATGTATATGCTATACATGCAATACATAGTTAATTGTTTGATGCTTTAATTAAATTAAATATTGAATCAAAAAGTAGCTTTATGGAAAGAAGTGTACACATCACCGAGTCAACTCATTTTTCAAACATCTATAGATGGTATTATATTTACGACTAGGCATACCTGAAAGACTCTTCTAAATCATATTTGCCTGTTTTTTTTCTCTCTTTTATATTAGTGTAAAAATAAACTTTCAAAAGAACGTTTAGTTAATTCATGGATTAAGATATTTTTAACATTCCATTAAGTTCATTGTTCCAAAATACAGAAAAATCATATTGCCAATTGATTTACTCGTAGATTTGAAACAACGTATTGGATTACTTTTACTCTTGTGTTGTATAAATGTATCAATACGCGCTTATGGGAATGGGTTCTTGCCCATTTCATAATAATTTATTATATAATTTGTTTTTTTTTAATATGATCATATATGGAACGATAGAATTAATTGCTAAAAAAAATTATTTGATCTTCTACAATTTTATCGACAGATTTTTGTAATTTAAAGCAATTATATTTCTTCTTTTCAATGTAATATTTAATGCTTCAACATCGAGCCATCCGAGTATTTATACGGCCGTGAGACTAGGATATGTAAGTAAAGCTTTTTCATTAAACTCACTAGCGTCTAATAGCTAACACCTATTCTAAAGTTTAATTCATTTCTAAACTTTGAGATAATAGATAACACGGAGTACCTATTGAAAGGCATGATTTAAGACTCGATCAAAGTAAATTTAATATAAATTATCATAGTTACGAGCTCAAAAATTGAAGATATGAATTTATGTATGTCTCTACTGGGGCGACATTGAAAAACAGATTATAGTAATATATGAGATAAATTGATAAGAAATAGCGCTTAAATAAACGGTAAAGGTATTGAGAGGATCTTGCATAACGAATTTCTGAAAAAAGTATATATTTAAATATGATGTAAACTAATGCTCATTCTTCTTCAGTGTGCTCACTTTTAGAATAAACAAATACAATCGTTAGGAAATCATAGCTCCGATTCAATGGATTACCATTAAAACATGAATATTTAATGAACACCAATTTGATGGGTCTAAGTATGAAAACAATATAATTATATGCATCATCGATTAATTAACCGCTACTTAACTTAACCGACTTCAATAATGTATCATCATTGAGAAAGTATCATTTATAACCTTGTCCAATCGAGATGTGATGGTGAGTGTGATGATGTTTATCTAATCTTCTGCGTCATCGACATCCACATCCGTAACTATAGTTTGGTATATTCTATATCATTATCCACCTATGAATAATATCACATATGCTTGGCTTATTGCTACAACATATTTTCTAATTGGTTTTACATGTGCTACTGATGTTTTTGCACTTAAGTCATTTATTCAATCGTCTTTAAATGGTTTGGAATTACAACATAACGCTTGCAGCATTTTTATATTCATCTCTATATCATTATTTACATAATTTTAAATCTATTTCTTGAAACTATATTTTGGTAGCGTCTATAAGTCGACTAGCACTCTTAGATCAACGTTTGTAAATGCAGTTAGAGTGTTAATGTTAATTAAAAAATTTATCTCACACTTCTTGCTATATTTGTCATGATGACATTGAAAAAAAAAATCAAATCGTTTTAATGTAGTAGCGGGTATAATGGTCACGCAAAAAGAAAATAATAATAATAAACGATATCGATAATAAATAGAAACAAAATGAATAAGCTACACTACAACAATACTTTCCATAGTACTACTCTAGCAAAGATAATTTTTTTCTCTTGTCATATTTGTTCAGTTTAATAAAGTAAAGAATAGTAGTACAAGTTGCTGAATTGATTCAATAAATATGTTTATGAGATGGATGCCATGAATTCTTGAACAGCATCAATAGCTTGTGCACATGCTTTTGGATAGGTTCCTGTATCGATAAGAGTGTTATTGGTGAAAATTTGTTTTTCTAATAAATTTCTTACCAGGTAAGGCAAAAAAGTCATGAATAACACCTTTGAAAAGTACAAGCTTGTTCTTTACACCAGCTTTATCCAGAATTTCCTTATATGCTAAAAAAAGATGAATCCAATTTATATACACATACATTTTCTCCTCTCTATAAAGCATGTTTATACCGTAGCTATCATCTCGAAGTGGATCTAGTTCAGCAACAATAAATAAAGTTGGTGGTAATCGATCGGGTGATGTATTACGTAAGACAGATATTCGAGGATCGTTCGCATCAACTTCATTATTAAATGCATTTTTGATACACCTATGAAAATAAGATGAATCATTTGAGTCGAAATATTGACTTAAACATAAACTTTTCATACAAATCAAGCAGTGCAGGTGTAGAAAGATACTGTTCATCAGTAAATTCCTTGTAAGACGGTGCTGAACGAGTAAAATCATACCAACCATAGACGAGAATCTATTGATTATTATCGAAATAATCATGATCTATTTTCAAATATAGAACAGAAAATCTTACCTGAAAATCGATATTTTTCATCTCTTGACTAACGGCTGCGCTAATCGTACCTCCGGCACTATCACCTGCTACGCCAATCTTAGCTGTTTTATCAACACCTAAATGAATAATCAATATCGTTAGATCGAACAAAGATATTGATAGATAAACAAACCAACCATAGGATTCTTTATTTTCGATAATATGTTTAGTTACTGCACATGTATCATCGAGCCAAATCGGATATTTATGTTCAGGACTTAGACGATATTCGACCGAAATCCAAACAGTTTTTGTCGCACTAAATCACGAACATAATATCTATTGAATAAAAAAAAGCAAAAGTTTTAATACTCTGCAAGAAGATTTATAATCGTTTGATGCGTTCTTCGACTGCCTACTGTCCAGCCTAATTTAAAACAAAATTATCAATTAAAATTAATAGTCAATCATGATCCGACCTCCACCATGGAAGTAAACAACTAATTTATCTTTGTTGGTATTAATCGGTGTATAAATATTAATTGGTATATCTAAATATTGTTTTTTTTTTTCAATAAGAATGAAGCACATATTTCACTACGTCACAATCTACCGGCAGAGTTCGTCTTCACTTGCTTCTCTTCAAGTTTGCCATTGAATGTTCCATTAAGCTTTTCATTGCCTTTACTATGAAGATCTTCAAGCCATGCTCGCAACAATTCAGGCGATAAACTACTCGATGGTTGTTGAAGTGTTGCAGCTAATTGATGAAAGACCTTTACCTCATCGGTGAAACGTGGATCCCTAGAAGAATCAAGTGAAATACGAACGAATAATTTTATCATTTAAAAGAAATGCACTTACATAGAAAATTCTTTCACACTGGTCTACTTTTCAAATGAAAGTCAACTTTTAAAGATCGATAATGATGTAAACACTAAATAAGAGATAAAAATATATATATTGATAATGATAGACATGTTAACATGCACGAACACCGAAAAAAAAAGAATCTAAATAAAGGTATGCCCATGTGACTCTCACGTTGACTTATTATGATGAAGGATATCGTATACACAGCTAAATTTAGACGTGAAACCTTGACTCCAGCAAAAATCGTTTACTGCGTCGTTTTTTATTTGTTTTGTGAAGATTAGTTTATATACATCATATATTGAAACAGTAGACTGGTAATCGAAGATGAAAGACTGATTTTTTTTCTATTTTAAATAACATGCAAAATAGTAATAGATTAATGGGTGTAAAACAAGTTTTGATCATCTTGAACAATATTCTTATCTAATATATTTCAAGAGTAGAAGAGATTGATTTTTGCAGCATACATGTTCTAATCACAAGATTTAGCATGAAGTCCTCTACAAAACTATATCTCATTTTGTTTGAAACTCATTTTAAATATAACACAAAAAAGATGCAAACGAGAAAAAAGAATCAAATAGATGTCGAAAATGATTATGCATGTGAAGACGTTTTATTAAATTAAATTCAATTACGAAAATAAATGGTTAGTAAAACCGACTTCTTCATAACACACTTTATGCCAGCTTTTCATTGTTTTTGTGCTATATTTAAAATGAGTTTTAAACCAAATTATACATAGTTTGGTAGAGAATTTCATGTTGAATCTTTTAGTTAAAATACATATGTAGAGCGAGTGGACAAGGAGAAGATAATTTGAACATACTCAAACTATAAATTCTTTATGGTTAATAATTATTTCTAGAACTAATTCACAAATTTTTTGTAAATTTTTATTTGCTTATGTCGCCATAACAACAATAAATGAACAGCTCGAATTCTAGAATATTGGTTGAAAGAATCAAAATCTTATTTTGTATCCTTTAATCGCTGTCCATTTTTAATTATGACAATATCTTAATGATTGTACATCGATATGAGCATGAGTGTGACAATGGTTTTAAATCTTTTATCGCAGGTTATCAGGATAAGTGAAAGAATCAATACAACCATCTTGAATTATGTGATGACAGATACATTTTGAATGACTTTGGATAATTGGATACGTACGAAAGATCCCATCGTGAGCAATTGTTTGTTGGAAAAATCCTTCTCGGTATTTCATATATAGATAACAAAGAATATTATAAGCACGGATCTTTTTGCATTTGATTGAAGTATGAAATGAAACCAAATGATTCAAATCGTGTTTTATTTTGTATATTTAGCATGAAAGCAGTGGTCTAATCAAGTTTTTTTTAAAATAAATGTCAAAATTAATACAATCTGAAAATATGAATATCTCAAAAACAAACTCTACGTCAGAAGATTTTGAGTGCATAGTTTCGTAGTTCATTAAATACAATATAATTACTTAAGCCCGAAGTCGATTAACAGAATATGAGATAGAATTAGGGTGTGGATATGTGTGAATGTGGGTGCGGGTGTCGATGCGGGTCTGGATATGGGTTGGGTGCGAGTCTTGCTCTTCTTCTCATCCACACTCACACTGAAAATATATCTTTGCCCATGCAACTCGATGAGCTTTATCCGATGAAATCAAAAACAAAATTTGCTGAAGTTTTGAATTACGCGTATCTTACAGTAATGATGATAATCTATGTATATTATAGTTAGTATGAATAGTTGAAAAATTTTATTTTCGAATATTTTTTTTTTTTTTTTTCTTTATATACTTATAAAGGTTAGTGTAACTTTTCATATGTAGTATATTACAATTAAAATATATCAAGCAGATTAAAACGAAGAACTGTTGTCACTATATACTAATCTATAATATAACGTATGGACAGACGAATGATGGGTAGAACGATGTTAGCTTATTCTCTCATCAATTCGTAGCAGAACTTTTTTTCCCCCTGCTTTCATTTGGTCTTATTCTCATAAATAATAAGATATATATCAGACAAGCAAAGATATCTTTCTCGTTTTTTGTTTTGCTTGTATTTATTCAACGAGAAACAAAGTAATAAAGAAAAAAAAAGGTCGTTTGAATACAACGGTATCTTTCTCTGTCTTCTAGTCTACTATGTATTCTATTATGAAAAGAAACAATTCTTTTACGGCAAATATTGTTCGACCAAAATGTTCTTTATATATTTAGTTTATTTTTAAGTGTGTATCTCATTTGTTTTTGATATATAAGAATAAAAGTAAATTTCGTTTTAGTAATCATATTCAATTTTAATAGAGTATCGTCACTATTGATTAATGATACTAAGTGTTTTTCTTTTTTCTTTGAAAAGAAGAAAAATCCGAATTCTTATTGTCGTTGTTCTTGTTTTCTAATGATGATATTGTTATATAATAAGAGAATAAGCAGATATCATATGTTGTGTCTATTAATTTTTTTTTTTGAATGCCGCCGATAATCTAAACCTTTAGGTAATAACAACAGTATACGTTCAAGATCCATAACTACTATTATCTCTTGTTATATTCTATCGCAGTCATTTATCCTTAAAACATTTCTTATCACCGAGTTGACGAACCATACTCATGGTTGTATTAGATTGATGAAAATATAATAGATCAAATACAAAAAAGTAAGAAAATTATGTTTTTTTATTATTATTAATTATAGATTTGAATGATCATTATAATAATGATGATATAAATAGTTATACATATACATAGATAAAATTACTGATGAACAAATGATGGGTGCTGAAGCTGATGATATTCAGTTTATACACACGGTAATAAAATTTTTTATTTTGTTTTTTGTTCAAATGAATATATTTCTAGGAAGATCATATATTTTTAAGTTGTGTATCTGTATCAGTACGAGGTTTGCAAGAAATGGTTAATAGAACTTCAACTGAACAAGTAATAAAAGTTGAAAATAAAAATAGAAACAAAAATGACTCTTTTCCTCTTAGTTATCAGCATCTCAAGATGGACAAACTTTTCGAACATTATTATATGAACATGCAATTCTTCTTCAACATTATCGTAGTCAAATGGTATAGTTTTTAAATTTAAGACTTTGTTCTTTCAATAATTAATCTTGGATCATATATATTCGAATCTCGTAGTTGTAGAAAAAAAGCTACACTAAAGTTTTTCAGTTTTGTCATGACCTTTTCGAAACATTAAACAAACAAAGGTCAAGAATAGCTTATTCAACTAACCATAATTCTCTATAGACTTTCCGTTAAAAGGCTTAATTCTTTTATATTTAAAAGCTCATATCAGAATGTACTGCTATTTTCTAGAAAATCTTACTTTTTATGCGAAAATCATCATCAATTTATGTAAAAAGACGATATGCCACATAAAAAAAATCACACCCTATACTATCATTTCATTTTCAATTTTGCTTAATAGAAACTTAACAAGAAAAGAAAACTTATATGTATATAGATTGTTCTTTTAGTGCTTGAGTTGTTTATCAACTAGTACATCGAATGCCAAACTTCCTTTTGATGTCGGCTTAAAAGAAAATGCACAAAGTAAATATAAATTTAAAAAAACAAATGTTTAATATGATAAATCATTTTCGTTTTTTTTTCAGGCGAATCTTGTTGGTGGAACATTCATTCAGCATCAAAACAAAGAAGCGAAGGCAAAAGACTGTGCTTTAATGATGATATTATTTTCGTTTCAGTTTCTTTCTGAACGTTATCTCGCAAGTAACTTTAGTTTTTTTTCTAAGAAAAAAAAACTCTTTGTTAGTTTTTGTTTAGCATGCCTATATGTCAACAAGTGAACGTAGTCAAGTCAATGCATCATTTCGTCAGCAAGTATGGAGGCTTGTACCAATATTGAGAAGTGTAGCATGTGTATAAACTTCAGATTTTGAGAAATATATATATATGATTAAGTATATAAAACAAATATTTTTATTGAAAAATTAGGATTTGTTCTTGGTGATGATGTTCTATGATTAATACATGATAATATGGATCATTGTATAACAACACCATCACGATCAGAATCACAAACAACTGATGATTCTAGAAGGTAATTTATTTCATGAGAATTGCTTTCATTTTGAAAGTTTACAAAAAACCAATTGAGATATTTTTATATGGGTCAATGCAGCTCGACGAGATAGTGGTCTACAAGAATATGTAGGAATATTGAGAGAACAAATCGTTCTCAAAAAATCTATTATCACTAAAAATATCAAGGAGTGTCTGACTTGAGTCGGGTCATGTAAGTAATAATTAACCTTAGCTTGGGTCGATTAGATGTTTATTCAAGATTTCTCTGGAAGCTCTATTAAGTGTTAGCATTGGATATGTAGGTGTTGTCGCTTCTGTTTATCCTATATCTTTCGTGCTGATACTTAATTGAGTGTCCTGGGACATCCGTAGAAAAGATTACTATAATCGGGTCGCATCTACAGTCTAAACATTTTGTATATGTAGAAGGCATTTTGAATGTTTGTTTTTGAAGGCCTCTAAGAGAGTGTGGAAAACTTAGTAGAACAACAAATTGTATATACAGCATGATTTTTTCCTTTACGTCACCGATTTTTTTTTACTGACATCAGACAATGATGTATAGAAAGTGCTTTGTCTATTTAATGATGGTAGATAGGTCGCAGGTTGCATACAGAAGAACAGATAGAAAACAAGAATAAATTTTATCAGATAATATGATTATCTCAACTATGGAATATTGGTGAAATATCAAGGGCATATAAATTATTTTCAACCAGGAAATAAAGAAAGATTGAGAAAACTGATCTCAATGCCAGAGTCCGATTCGGATCGCAAACCTTGAACTCATGCGGAACACTGGTTAGATTAGCAGAACAAAAAGTTGTTGAAGAGTTTCAACCCTTTAAGTATGTCTGTAAAAGGCGACGGAGATCTTTGCGTTACGGATTTAAAGAAAATTTAAGCGAAATTCAATTGTGGCTAGAGAGATTGAGCTCTTTTACGTTGGACGTTCACAGAACACTTTTTACTCCCTTTTACTTTGTATGAAGAATATTATGTAATTAAAAAAATATTTATTTGTCTATTTTAGTTTATTTATCATAAGTGGTGCTGCTTATCAACAAGCTCGATCATTATGGCGTATTGAATGTTTTAACCCTTTCGTACCGTGGTTATTTTCTGTAAGAAAATCGAATGTATTTAATGAGAAAGTACCTCTTATTACACTTGATGAAAGAGCTTGAGCGTCTGAAAGTTAAAGCAATCTTGTCTATTGCTGGAAGTCCTATACAGTCAACGGGCTTCATCATGGATAATATAGTTCTCATTAGAAGTATTTCAATATATGATAAGTCTCGAAGTAGGACGCTATGTATAACCCAACATTGCATTTCCTGCTCTCGTACCGCGTTTTTGTTTCCTACTTTGGACTAAGGATTGTGTGGTTACAAATGAAGCAAGGTCTTCATCCATCCATGGAGCTTTTCGCTTTTGATGAAAAGTGTCGTGCAGTCATGCGCATTGGGGTCTCTGTTGGTTATCCTCTAGGGCGATCCGATTATGAATGTCGAATTCTTCCAGAAGCTACAAAACCATTTTCAGTCGAAAGTCAGAAAGACAATATTCTCTTCGATCTGCAGTTTGTATAGCACGCAAACAATGCAGAGCAAGATATCAAATAAATGGAAGCATAAAACTGAACTTCGAATACACTTTGATACATGTATCAGAAGGAAAATGTTACTGTCCCATATATGGAACACCCAGCGCGAACGGATTAATCGTTATCTCCAGTGACATACAGTCGAATGAAATTGATATCAATTCATTTTTTCAACAGCTAAAAAACGTTTTGATGAAGAGACTATTGAACGAAAATGTATATTAATTCTAACACATTTAGATTTAATAGCTTCGGAAGACGACAGAACTATGGTCGATCATTTGCAACGAAATCCACATTTAACAGAATGGATTCGGTGACGTAACTGTTATTACTTTGATCGAAACAAACTACAGGCGGATGTGAATGTGACTAAAAGAAGCACTGAAATCCTTGCTGACATCATAGAAAAAGTACGTATGGTACGTACTTTTGAGTGACAAACATTAGTCCTCTTGATAGCTTTTTGAAACAAAATAAAATCGTGCTCATGCATTTGATGGGAACTTCACAGAAATAACAACAAAAACCTTGCTTACGACATTTTCCGTAAGATGAGATCAGATGTGGGTGTGAGTGATAGTATTTTTGAAAAGAAGACCACCATACCCCACACTCACACCCACCCACACCCCACACCCACACCCCACACCCACACTCACATCCCACATCCATAAAAATACACATACATGTTTGAAAAAGAACTGTTTTCATTAGATTTCGGAAGTTTTTTAAAACATGCTATTGTTTTAGAAAGCTGCTTTCTGCTATGGTTCGATTCTTTATCAAACAGCGTTCAATTAGATTAAATTTTCATCATTGATCGCCGAAAGTATTCTTCAAAGGTAAAGTTATCTGTTTTTATTTTGTCACTTTGCTATCCGTACTTACAACGTTTTTGAAGCGAGAACGCGTTAGTTTGAATGCGGATCTTTATGTGTTTAGGTTATTAAAAAGATCAGATTTTTGAAAAAATGTTAAGTTTATTTCTAAGATACAAAGTTAACCATCTTTCAAAGAATTTTCGACACAAGGTGATAAAATTTGCTTAATATTGTAATATGTCACTAAACAGATCTAAGAACATCTTTCGTGTTGCAAAAAAACTTGCAAAGTCTGGTTCAAAATTTTGTTTTCATCAAACATGTATTTGTTTTTTTTCTAGCATTCTATCTATGTTGAAAATTTGAGCTTGATCAATTGTGCTGTTTTCAAGAATCATAAGTTGTCAAGAAGGAGGGTGTGCGGATGTGGATGTTAGATTGTTTTTAAACACACCCATGCCACCCATCTACACACCCACCCCAATATGAAGATATTTTTCATTAATTTATTCTATTTCAAGGATGTACATTTTGTGATTCTCAAAATTACTCACTGACACCGATATATGACTCAGTAATATAAATAATAGTAAATCTATCTAGAAAGAAGTTTAACTTTCTACGGCTGAATGATACAATTTTAAATAACGGAGTAATCGAGATCTAGATTATTTTAGGTCACTACTCAACTTTTTCTTAATGGATTTGCTTTATAACCGAAACGGACTGTTTATCAAAAAAAACTAAAAAAGAGGATAAAACATGAAAATAAAGCAAATTTTCACTTTTAAAATTGGGAAAAAAGGCTTTTTCATAATTTTACCGGTCGATTCGTCTTATGACCGAAGGCAACTCGCTCAATGATTAGTATCTATGCCGATAAATAGGATCACTACGTATGTACATATTCTATTAGTTGATTGATGTGAGAGCATTCGGTCACAACGCGGTTAGACGCTCTGACTTGATGACCGACAGTAGCTGACCGTTCTATCTGTGCTCTCTTCTCACTTCTTTCGTATATAAACTCGTGTTCTATATATAGTAGAGACAACTGGAGTGATAGAACTGTTTTGTGAATATCGTACACCGAGGATAGCGGAAACGATACTCCTCCAGTTTGTCATTGTGTTCACAATAAAATGAATGCTACAGTAACGAAACAGTCTATTTCTCTTTTTCGCTACAGTGTCGTTAACTGTATAAAGCAACAGAAGAGTCGAGCAACTCATCAATCTACGCAACATGCTCCTTTTATTGATTTCAAAAATCCATATTATGATTTATTTCATCCAATGATTGACTAACACAAGTATTCATTGGGAAAATCAAAAACAAACAAGGCAACTCATCTTTATTCGCTTCGTGTCACTTTGAAAACATAGAATTATAGATTATTTCTTTCTCTAGCCAGATAGATATTTTCCATCGAGTTTATTCATTATCTTTTTACTGAACTTTGGAGATATTTGTTTTAGTGGATGTTTAAACAGGTTAAAGTTTGTTCATTGATCAATCTGAATAGAGTATTTATTAATATAAACTGGGTTTTTTCTAACTGAAAGAATATAAACCAAAATTTTACGACTAAAATTCAATATTCTCCTCTATATAAAAACAGTTTCATTTTAGATTTTTTGCACGTTTAATTTAGATGAATATTTTCTACCTAAAACAATTTTCATCATTAAATATATCACGGAAAAATAAACGTGCAAAAGTTTTGTTTCACCGGTTTTCAAAATTTATCAATATTATGGAGAAGATTAGAAGTAAACTATATGATTCAATACAGTAGTTCATCATCTATTCATTATATCAATATAAGAAATATTCGAACTTTGTGGTAAATACAGAAAACTGAATAAAGCAGATGCGTTCAAACAATGTTTTGATAAAATGCGTTTAAACGCAAAAATACCGTTTTTTTTTCTAAAGATTGACGTTTGAATACTGTTTTATAGAAAACTATTTTATCTTGAGTACCATCTCATTTATTTATTTTATTTTTTCATCAATAATTCACGATGATTTGGCTACTATTTATACAAATTATCTCGCTAGTTTTTTCACCCTTTTGTACATTGATAAACATGAATCAGAGTTTAGCTGGAATATTTTATTAAAAGAGATAAATGAATATAAATTATTACATAGCACATTTACAAACTGACCAAAACAAAAATTTTCTTTTACAATAACCGTTTTCATATCCACATATTCTGCATTTCTCAATGCATCCGGTCACTCCTTGAGTAGCACATGTACGCGATGGTAGACCACAACTATCACCAGAAACATTAATCACTAAAAATATTAAATAGATAGAGACAGCTTCAAAATGTTTCACTTAAATGTACACACTACACAATGCGAATATGAGAGCGAAGACAATCAATACGACAGTCAGTGTTCGAGCCATGTTAACGATTTTTGTTCTGATCTCGTATATAAATGCTCTTGTATTTATAGTGAAACAATTCGGAAATATTTTATTTAATATGTTGAGTGACATAGGATAATCAGTTTAAAATAAACATGACCCAATAGATCTTTTATTAGTAATCGTCAGATCTTATTACGATTATTTTATTACGTGCAGTTACTCATACTTATCTATCTACATCAATTCTCTAGAAATAGTAGCATCGTATTTTTCTAGTTACGTATATTCTCTCTATTTCATATGATACATTTTTATTCTGTCAGCAAATATCAAAGTATCATACCAGCACACCCACACCAGAACGAAAGAGAATACAATACTCTTATCATCGTGATGACATGAGGTGGGCTAGACTCAGCCATTCATTATCGTAGTAAAGAAATCGCTTGCCATAACAATTTCTCAATATCCATTTTTAGTCAAATCTACACTTGTATTTTATACTATTTTTAAATGATGAATCTATATATGGAAATAAGGAGATAAATCATTTTTGAAATATTTTCTATTTTCATGTTTGTCTTACTCATACACATGTGACGTGAATAAATGAATAGATTCCTATCGTAGGATCACGTGAGGACAATATTTTTATACATTTGAAGAAGAGAAGAGAATGACTAACGGATTTATTATACTAAGCATAACGATAATTTTCGATAAAAATTAATTATGAATAAAATGAAAATGTTGAATATGACACTGTTGAAATATCTTAGATGTGGAATGGAATAAAGAAATTTTAAAAAGTTTCGATGACTAGTTTAGTTGCTCAACACAGTTTCACTCTAAATAAATAATGACATCGAACATAAAAATTCTAATTAATATTTTATGTAAATAATTGAAAATTGATTTTATTATAATCGATGGTTATGTTTATTAGTTTTGTAAGTTGAATATTGTTTTATTTGAAAATATTCAAAATGATCATTAATCATTAAATAAAAGTGAAATTATTTAATTGATTAAACGTTGTCAAAGAGTATTAAGTCTTTGAAAGCTTTTTAAAATGTTAATTATTTAATGTTGAAGTTTGTCAGAGACTTTTTCGTAATGTGAGATAGTTGCATATTTGACAATTATTTATCAATGAATTTGTCACAAAATCGTGGTAAAGTTCTATTCGCATTAGACAGTGTCAATGGAAGTCCATCTAAAATTAATTAGAATGATATGACATTTGAAAATACATATTCTTTTTCGTCTTCTACCAATCGTGCATTGTCACTTACTGATCATGCTATACAATATTTTGCCACACAACCAGAGAATACGAATATAACATTTACTCATGCCTTTCCAGCGAGTGTGGATGACAGAGTACTGCGGGAATGAATTTTTTCCCTATTTTCCCGTCCCGCTTCCCACGAGAATCGGGAACGGGAATTCCCGTGGAGATTTCAGGACGTGAACACGGGAACTGGAACGATAAAAAAAAATATCCATTCCTGAAAATTCACTTGTCCTATTTCTATATGCGCTAAAGTGTGTTCGTGTAACAAACTTTTACTTTCAATAACTATTTTCGTATATAATAAACAAAAAAAAGAGCAAATATTTATCGACAAAATTATGGAAATTCATTCATTTTTCACTACATCTTACATTATGACAACGATCAGCTTCTTTATAATTATCATCGAAAGCACGATTATCAAGATTATCTTGCACGACATTAATATCATCTTCTTCTTTTGAAATTTTTGCTTTTCTCATTGGTGTCATCAAAGTGCAACTATTTGTTCTTTTTCTTAATTACTCAGTTGATGATGAAACGACTTCTTGTTGTATCTCTATGGTTCGAAAAAGGATATTTTTAAAATATTAATTGTCGAAATACACAGCACTCGTTGAGCTATTGTAGATAGTATAGAGTTAACTATTTATTATTGTTTCAATATATAAAAACATTCACATCTTTTCCCACTTGTATCTGATCTGCAACTTATCTTGTGAATTCAGTCTTTATTTGGGGTGGGTGTATGTGTAGATGTGGTAATAGGTGTGAGTTAACAAGAGTTCCACTCACACCCACCAACCCACACCCCATCCGTATCCACACCCAGACAAGGGAAATCGAAAAATTTACGGGTAGAAATTGATGACAGAAAAAAGTGGAAGCGAGTGTAATTAAGGTAAAAACAGGTTTTGCTCGATTTGATCTATGAAAATACACAAATCCTCAATGTACAATCGATATTTTTCTTTGTATTCCACATACAACTGAATCTCGTGATGAAATGCTTGTTGAATGTCGTCGAATCTATAAGGATAATGAACAAGTTCTTGCTGAAATTGATGCATTCGATCAAATGTATCATTCAAATGCTGCTCTTCAATGGTATTCACGTGATAGTTTTCTTTTTCAAATAATTAATCAAGCACTTCGATCAAGTAATGTCAATGCCATGTTTAAAATGAGATATTTTCTTACGGATCTTTATGCACAACTCCATGAATTAAATAAACAAAAGAACCATATTTAATTCATATAAAAAACAACAAATAGAAAAAGTTCTATCTTCGTCAACATATGTCTAAAATAGAATATGAATATTTTCAACAGATTCAAGGTAGTATTACATCAATCAATACGTTTTTATCAACAACTAAATCATTACAAATTGCACTTTACTTTGCAAATACATGGATAAAAAATAATGATGTAATTTCAGTAAGATTTTGCATTGAAATAAATTAACATTGTGAATATCTTCGTCCATTTGCTGATATTTCCAAATTTTCAATATTTCATGATGAAAAAGAAATTTTATTTGCTATCGGTAGCGTGTTTCGTGTTCAATACATTGAAACATTAGACAAAATAAATAATATTTCTATTATATATTTAACATTAATCGATCGAAAAGAATTATAGAGAAGAATTTTTTTCATCAATATTCAATTCGAAAAATTTAATTAATAAACTTTAAAAAATATTTCCTTTATCGAAGTTTTATGATTGCACATAATAACATCATTTGCTTTTTTCAACATCATTTCCGAGTTTCAATGAATTACATATACATGCATGAATAATGTAAATGAAAGATGAAGAAGAAACTGTTTTTTCAGTTTCCATTCTTTTGTTGTACAGTATTCATTCTGTTGCTCTAAATTTTTTTTAATTTCTACCAAGCTTGAAGCAATGATTGACGAAATATCTGTTTTTAAGAAATAATCAAGTGTGGATGGAACACGCAGATATTTCCATCCGGATGTAGCAGAGGCGCGAGAGATGTTTTAACAATAATCGTGGCGACAGTGTTTTTTGCAGAACCTTCGGAACTGTATTAATTTGTCCAGAGTTTCAGCATCTATAAATGTAACACCCTGAGACTCAACAATTCTAGCTCATACAGTCACAGTAGTGAAACTCGAAATATATTTTTGAATACCATCGTAGCAGCGACAGATTTTCAGCCGCAATAGATATCTCTGGTAGCACGATACAAAGAATATGTAATGAGAGATATTCAATATTCTCTTCTACTTTAAAACGATATGTAAATGACTCTTGACTTGATAGATCTGATGAAAAGTAATTACTGTTACAATGACCGTCTGCTTGCTATTAGAAGCGAATTTAATTACGTCGTTAATTTCGACTATGTATTTTTTAGAGATATCTTTAAATGAAGTAAAATTTTAATGTGACGATAGTTTGATATTGTTGCATGGTGTATTGAAATAAAATTCGATTCTAGCACATCCATTATTCATATGTAGTAGTGTACTTTTCTGATATTTGAACTGCTTCGTTACATTTAATATGATAAACGATCTTATAGTAAACATAAACGTATATACGTAATAGTTTTATTTTTTTCTTCTATTAAATGTTTGTTTGCCATACGCAGTAACAAAACGAGAGAAAAAGTACGACTGCACTCGTACTTCGAACCTTATGTGAACTAGATAAAGTTTTCACTTTTTTTTTCCTTTGATTCATAGGCATATGAATCATGTAAATGTGATAAAGTGATGTCTTGTTTTATTTGTGGACCACTAAACTTTATTATTTTTGATAAATTAGAATTATACAAGAAATTATATTGTTAAAAGCTTCGAAATGAAGCTTATCATCTTTATGCCGAAGATTTTATATTTGATGTTATTTTTTTTAAGATTTCACTTTATTAATATGGCTAATTCAACTACAAATAATACGAATAATGATAGTCGTATCCCTTCCGTGATGAAAGCTGCTCAACAAAGTGGTTTTGGAGATGTACGTGATGTTCTTACGCTTGGCGAGAATGTATCTGTACCTCGTCAATTATCATCTAAACAAATTCTTGTTCAAGTTTATGCTGCTGCAATCAATCCAGTTGATTGGAAAATTTTAAATGGAAGATTATCACTTGTTACTCGATATTCATTTCCTCATACACCAGGTACTGATGTTGCTGGTGTCGTTGTTGCTATCGGTTCAGGAGTAAAACGTCTTCGAGTTGGCGATAAAGTTTATGGAGATCTTGGAATTCATGGTGGTAGTTATGCTGAATATGTTCGTGGAGACGAATCATTATTTACATTGAAACCAAATAATTTAACAATGGAAGAAGCAGCTGCTGTACCTTTAGCATGTGACACCAGTTATCAAGCATTGTTTAAAAAAGCTTCACCTCCTATTGGAACAGGAAGTAAAATATTAATCTGTGGTGGTAGTACAGCAACTGGTTTATATGCAATTCAATTAGCTAAAGCAGTTGGTGCTAATGTTACCGCCACATGTTCACAAAGAAATTTTAGTCTGATGGAAAAACTTGGTTTGTATTCTACCATCTATTCTATAGAATTTCTTTTTTTGTTATTGTTGTTTATTCTTTCCAGGATATACAATAACACAAACAAGTGATGAGACAAATAATGATCAAAATCGATTACATGTTATTGATTATAATGAAAAAGATTTCGGAGAAGAACTGAAAGGTAAATATATTTAGGTTATCATTTTATTTTATTTTTATCTCTAGATCAAAATTATGATCTTGTATACGATTGTGTTGGTGGTGAACAACAATGGATATCAGCACAAAAAATATTAAAACGAGGTGGTCAATTTATTACTATTGTTGGTGATGATACCTCATCTATTATTTCATTGAAAACATTGGTTATAGCTGGTTCCAGTTTGGTAAATCGAAAATTTTGGTCTGTTTTTGGTTCAGCTCATCATGGTTATATACGTCATTTATTAAATGAAAACTTTCAAGACCTTGATGATATTCGAACAAAATATATTGAAACAGGCAAAGTTAAACCATTAATTGATACAGTATTTGATTGGCGAAAAGATGGTGTAGAAGCTTTATATTCACTTTATGAAAAATCCAAAAGTGGAAAAGCACAAGGAAAGTTAATTCTTAAAATAGCTGATGAAGAATAAAGAAACATCATTTTTTTTTAAACATTTTTTATCAAGATAAATTAATAAAGAGATTTTTTAAAAATTTTTATTATTTCTAATGTATATGTTTTGTCTAAATCTATGGTAGTTCAAGTTCAAAAATTCTGATAAACTGATCAAAAGAACTGTCGATGTAGATTCATTCCTATCAAAATAATTCATCTGAGCTTTTGAGCCTAGATTGTGCTAGAGCTAATCATTCAAAGAGAAAATGACTTGTTTTTAACAACAAAGGCTTTGCGGAAATCCATGATCAATACAATTAGTTAACCATAATGAAAAGTTAAGGTGTGGGTGTGGGCTTGTTGTTGAAGAGCACACACCCACACCCGCAATTAACATTTCTTCGATTTATATTCCCATCATATTCTCATCCTACTCCATTCCAATATACAAGCAGACTAATTGTTACAACCACACTACAACAGAGAGCCATCATCGGTGCTGAGCTGAAATATGGATAACATGGTAGCTCTGCACATCCACACGATTCACACTCTCCCGCGAGCAACTGTCCTGCGGAGACGTGTCTGAATCCCGTAGTATTGTTTCTAAACATACCTGATAATGCTCCAGTAACAAGAATCGAAACATGGAGTATGACTCTGCTTGAACCATTCTCTTCTGTGAGCTTACCCACACCATCACATCCTCTTAAATAGGAACGAGAAGTGTGACATTTTTAGTTGACAACATGAACCCGCAACACATTTCGGACAAAACACTTTTCAATCATCTTCGTTTCAATCTAACTTAAAACTATCATCCCTAAAAACCATACAAAGGAACTTTCGATGTCAAAATATACTGTGTGTAGAACGAAATTGGTTTTACAAACATTTTTTTTGATAAAGAGTGAATGAATGAGTCTTGAAATACCGTAAAACTACCAACAACAGAATGCTTGTGAATCGTATTTTCGATTGATACTTTCATAGACAATCAATCACAAAAGACACAAGTTTCTTAGAAAATTATTCCGTCTGTAAAACTTTGTAGAACTCCTTGCGTTGATCATGTTCGTAGAAAAAATTCTAACTTACTCAATCAATGACAGTGCTACGATAAAATCACTCAAAAGCGTCAACTACCGCTCAGTAGCAGTGAGAAATAGTGGAAAGTTTTGAGTATTTTGACTCCAACATCCTCATATGTTAAGTGAATTAGAATCTTGTTTTTGCTAAAATTGACAGTGCAACGAGTTCTACAATATTCTACAGATGAAAAAATTTTCTGAGAAACTTATGCTTTTTGAGATTGATTATCCATGAGTGTATCCATCAAAAAAGCAATTCGCAAGCATTTCGTAGCTGGTAAGAATATAAGAATGATGAATAAGAATCGTCACAATTATAAAATTGTGCAACATGGACAATCCACTTTTTCAAGAGGTACTGGCTTCTCATCCAGCCATCGTTCAATAGTCTTCATTTGTATTTTCAAATTATCTTTTTCTTGAGTAAAAACAGTAGGAACTTTCAATTTCACTGTAGTAAATTGATGATCTGGTAACATCATCTCCCGTAATATATCCTTGAATTAATTCAAAACAGAGTCCTTTTTCCCATCGACTAAATCATCTGGACAGTGCTTTAGAATGAGGGTGAGAAAGTACTGGAAAACAGGAAATTCAAAAAATCTTGAAAGACCAATATAGACCACGTATAAAAGAAACAAGACAGGAATGAGAAATTATTGTATTGAAGCATCATTGCAGAAAAGAATGCATGCGAGGGTGGATGTGGTGTGGGTGTTGTTCTTTCTTTTACCCACCCATACTCACACTCATACCCGAACCGATCAAGAATTTGTGTTCTGCATGTTTATCCTGTCAGGATTGAGAATGATTTCATTTCGACGCTTGACAATGTGAGCCATAGAAATATGCTTTACCTGTATTTAGATAGAAAAATAACATTTTAAATCCGCAAGACAGACTTGACAGAGACGTCATTACACTCAAAGTCGAATGGTTTAGTGGGTGTGGGTGAGTGTGAGAGGACAGTAATCGAACACTAACACTTTACCCACACTCACTTACACTCTCAGGTGTATGAATAATGTTGAACGTCATTGCACGTTGAGGAGAGTTACTAAGGGTTAAATAGGTCTAATTATCATACTATACATTCTAATAGGTTCTTGTAACAGTGTGTTGCACTCGAAACAATCGCTTTCATGTCATTTAGCTAACACTTTATGATACTATTAAACATCTACAAAGATCCAATCATTTTGTTCACAATTTGAAGTTCGATAATACTGTTTAGACTATGAGTAATGCCCATGGATGTTTGTAACCTTGCTAGTATACGTAAACTACATCATGATAAAAAGTCAGTCTAAGATTTATTTGAACATAGTTCATTTCATGCTTGTTCAAAAAACCATTTTTGAAAATCACCGCCATTACCAACGCTTGGATAAACTTGACCCTCAAAATTAGAATCAAGTACACGTGACGTTGCTAGATTTAGGAGTACAAAAAAGTTGTCTTCATTCCAATATAATCTCCATTTTTGATAGCGGCCACCATTTAAATCATGTGTGTACATCTGATAGCCATTGGAATCAAGTACCAATGAGGTTGCTAAGTTTTGTAATACACAAGAACCATCGCCCTGTCGTTGAAATTGCCATCGTTGATATGTGCCACCATTATATTTAAGAGTATAAATATTTTTTTCTTCATTGGTGTCTAGTACCCTTCCTGTTGCCTTGTTTACTAGGAAACCCACTATCGGATTCATTACATCACAAACCATTCTTTGATTGAATGATGAATCTAATCAGACAATGATCCTATTCACTTTGTATGAAATATGATTGAAAATACTGCATACGGAGATTTCTTGAAAACTAAAAGCTATTTTTTTCTTAAGAATAAAATGTTTAGGTTATCCAAGAAGTGGAACAATAAAACGAATTTCATTAAAATGATTATTTTTGTTCGTTAAATCAAAAACATTTCTTGACTTCACTTAAATTTTAAAAATCGCATTGCTTTCATTATTTCGACTAGCTTTCAATGTTTTCACCATTTTAATGAAATGAATTTGACTCGTTTTGCACGTTTTTTGATTGAAATTAGATCAGTTATTTTTCAAAATAATCAATTAACGGTCTCGCTTTATAAGTAGAAATTTCATTTTTTTAAATTAAAATCTTATCATTTTTTTTCATTTTTTGACTTCCTGGTTATTACCGAATCTATGACTATAATTCGGTGTATTTCGGGTACACCATACAACCAGTTCCATCAAGAAGTGGTGACAATTCGAAGTGGGAAGCATGTCGACCGAAAGAGGGAAGAATGCTAATTTACCAAAGCGCACTGATGACCAGCGGTAACATGAGTGCCGAAAATGATATGCTGACGAAAGGCGTGAATTTTTCAGAGTTTGAAAGATTGTTTCCCGTTAGGGATAGCCCTATCATGGATATACGAGTCTCATAATACTTGAAAAATCTCGATGGTGCAAGAAGAAGAACTGAAAATCGGTCCATAGCAATGACACTCTAAAAGATCTTGCATCAGAAGCTTTCACATTCTCGAGTAAACTGTAGTAGCATCATATTTGTATAAAACTCACTTGATGTTGCTTCTATCGTTGATGATGGTGCTGTTACGGTAACTGTTGGCTCCACCACTAGAATTAAGAAAACAGAACAAGCTTGTAGTGAAACTTGGATATTCTCCGTGGCGATCGTACAAGAAAATTCACAATAATAGCTTTCCAACTCAAGCATTTCTAATATGACGAATCAAAGAGATACTTACTCTCCCAACTGCACTGCTGCTCTACTTGTGACCAAAATAAACCTGCTGGACAATATTTGAGATAGGCGCTGCCGTCAGAGCAATGCCAAAATGTGTGATGATCATCGGGATTTCCAAACATGCCATCACTTATACATGTATACGTTCCATCGATACGTTTTATAAGAGAAATCAAGATACATAGAACCGGTATAATAGGCATTCTCTAGACACTTCTTTTTTATCAACAAGTGCAAATGAATTAGAAAAAAATATCCTGTTTTTCTTTTGCTTTTTTTCAGTCAAATTATTTCCCGACTTAAGAATAGGTAATTGAATCTTTGCACATTTTACCTTTTCTATGCAGTAATCCTATAAATATTCCATTTATTTTGGCTTTACGATTCTTTCATGTATTGCAGAAAGGACAATAACAAATTGCATATAAGCGAGCAGACATATCGACGTTACACAAACCATTCTCGAGAAGAGCAAAACTTTGTTGCTGAAGAAATGAATGCAAAGTAGTCTCTTTGGACGTGTCCCACAACATTGATTTGCACTATACGTGTTAAATAGGAGGAAAATTCGCAGCATCAGTAAAAATTCCCTACAGCGACATGTGTTCCAGTCATTTGCCAGTTTCAGAAATGGAATCGGTTTGGCTTTTACCCGAACCAAACCAATCGACCAGAACCGACACCGACTCAGTTGAGAGTTGTTAAAACTTCGGTCATATACGTTAGGTCTGGTTAGCGATTTCTTCGATTCGTTTTGGTTCGGTTAGGAAAACGATGCAAACCAATCCTATGTCTGGTAAGTTTTTTGTAATTAGGCTGCATTTCGAAAACAGTCTATCAGGTAGCGAAGGCATTTTTATTTTAATAATCCAGAAGGATTCTCCAACGAAACAATGAATCCTGGCTAACCATTCGTTCAAATAATTCGTTGACGAATAGAGGAGTGGTTCCAAAGATTCACTAGATTATCACCATATCTCGTTTCATACATTCGAACTCTGCAGCAAACGTCACTGAATAATACTGTTGATCAGCGAATTTCATTTAAGTACATATAAAAAACAGCAGCGAGAAGAATAATGTCAATAGAAACTCAATACTATGATATGGATAATAATTGAGAATGACTTTTATTCATACTGTTAAATTCAGACGAAAAACATCATTCTCTTATTGTTATTCATCAAGTTTGTTTTTCT